TTTCACAGGTTCATCATTGTTCTTTTTCATTGCGTAGTATCCCACTGTGTGTATGTACTATAGTTTATCCATTCATCTGTTGATAGGCACTTAGGTTGTTTCCATCTTTTTGCTATTATGTATAATGCTGCAACGAACATGGGTGTGCATATGTCCATCATGTGATGGCTCTTATTTTTCTCGGATATATTCCTGTGAGTGAGATTGCTGGATTGTATGCTATTTCTATTTCTAGCTTTTTAAGGAAGTGCCGTGTCATTTTCCAAAACAGTTGTACCATTTTGCATTCCCACCAGCAGTGCATAAGAGTATCCAATCTCCTCACAGCCTCTCCAACATTTGTTATTTTCTGTTTTTTTGATTTGTGCCAGTTATGTTAGGGTGAGATAGTATCTCATTGTAGTTTTGATTTGCATTTCTCTAATGGCTAGTGATTGCGAGCATTTTCTCATATGTCTGTTAGCTGCTCAAATGTCTTCTTTGGTGAAGTGTCTGTTCATATCCTTTGCTCATTTTTTAACTGGATTCTTTCTCTTGTGGAGGTATTGGATTTTCCTATAGATTTCAGAGGTTAGACCTTTGTTGGATCTTTCATGGCCAAAAATGTTTTTAACATTTTCGTGAGGGATTCGTAGATGACTATATAATTTCTCACCATCTCGATGACTGTGGTAAAATTTCTTCCCAAAAGATCAGTGTTAGCCAGTGGGAATTCATTAAATGCTTCCAGTTGTTGCCACAGTGGTGGCCCTGGCCACAGGACACCCCACCCTCCCTGCAGGCCCCATCACAGGCATCCTGAGCAGCCAAGCTCCCAGGCTGCTTAGGAACAGTTTGTCTGTGTGGGCAGGTGGAGCAGCAGCTCCCAGGACAGCATGGTCTGAAATCACTCTGGGTTTTAGCTGCCTGACACAGTGGGTGCGGCCCCCAGATGGCGAGGCCAAGGGTATCAAGGTGTTTCCCACAGCGGCATAGCTTCAAACTCATGCCAGAATCAGCCCGGCTTCCCCGCCAAGAGGAAGCACAGTTTCAGCCACTGGGAAGGTGGACGCTGGCCTGGAGACCTCCATGATTTCATCGGTCACTCCAGATGGCCCCAGGGGAGCTGGCTTCTCTGGATTTTTCACCTGTGACCTGCAACTATGCTGGGAGATGGAGCCTTTTTGCATGTCTGGTTCTCATCAGGATGGCTGATGGAAAATGAGAAAGGACCTTTCCCCCAAAGTAGCAGTCGTCACCCAGCCTCTTCTTGGACCATATTCAGTCTGTGTGTCCTCAGAGCTCCCCCCATCCTCACGGCCTGTCCTCACGGTTCCCCCATCCTCATGACACCCAATCCACAGAGCCCCCCCGTCCTCATGGCTTTCCCCATCCTCACAGCGCCCCCATCCCGTTCTCACAGCTGTTCTTCCTCATGCCCCTGTTCACATGCCCCCCTCTATCCTCACGGTACCCTGTCCACACACACCACCCCCGCCATCTTCACAGCCCCCACCCCCACATCTTTACTGGCTACACACTCACACCCCACCCCTGCCCTCACGGCCACTTTCCTTATGCAGCAGGCGGCTGCCCTCACCCTTCTATATTGACATCTTCCTCCCCAGAGCTTCACATGGTTTCTTCCCAGTTCAGTCATGGCCCACAAAGTGAAATCAGAACAGACTCAAATTTTTAAAATGTAGGCGAACCAGAATGATAACCAGAATGGGAAAAATTAACAGGTTGAAGCCTTGCTAGAAACTTAATCTCCCTCTTAGAAAACAAAGACAGTGTGTGCATTGCATAGCAACCACATCTCTTGACAGGCAGAGCAGGAAACAGCGTGACCTGCTCAAAGATGGCGACCAATACCATGCTGCTTTAAATGTATGTTGTTCTCCGCAGTCCTGCCAATAATCCAATCCCCTGCATCAGGCTCCTGAAAGGGCTCACTATGCTTCTTCTGAGTGTCCCATTCCCAAGCTTCAACGTATAATTTTTCCTGTTCTGCTTATCATTCTGGTTCACTCAAATTTTAAAAATTTGGGTCTGTTACGATTTTGCTTTGTCAGCCATGACTGACTGGTTTGAAACTCTGTTCCTCCCTTTGTGCAAGTCCAGTCAGAAGGTTCTTCTGTCAGGGACAACAGCACGGAAACCATGAGAGGCAGATTCTGTGAATTCACAGCCCTACTCTTGGATGACAAGGCTTTGTCAGAAGGTGGAAGAGCTTTAACCCATTTCAAGCACAGATGTGCTAATATTCACATAACATTAGAGGATTATTTTGTAAGAAAATATTTCTTAGAATTATCTTTAGTGTGAAAACTTATAATCATCACAGTTTTATAGGGACAGACTTTTATTTCTGACCCTGTTGAAACAGAAGTGGGAGAAGAAAATATTTGAATATAGTGAAAATATTTAACAGGATGTAGAGAGAGAGTGGGTGGGCATTTGCCTAAACATGTAACTCCCTTAATTGTCTTCTTTGTGGAAAACGTAAAATTTAAAATATTGCCTCACAAAGAAGCTGTGACAGTTTTTATTATTGTAAAAACATATCTTAGAAACCAGAGTCAGAATCTTAGGAATGGGGCATTTGAACACGTTTTTTTTAAGACAGTTGGGAATTTTTGGCTGAGAAAGCCGCATGCCGGTATTCATATTTGAGAGGAGATACAGAGCAGAGCTTTCTGTGTGATGCCCTGAGCTCCTCTCTCACTGGGTTGCATCCTGTAATGCATGATCGTAAGGAATCGTCTAAATTCACGAGGATAAGAATCAGGATCCGCACAAAGCTAGTTCCTATAAGGTGGAGGTCAGGTATATCTCCGCCTGCCCACTCCTCCATAATTTCTGACACAAGCTGCTCCCCCCCTCCTCTGACTTCTCTGCAGGATTTGATAATTTGTTGCAACAGCCGCACAAAACTAATAAAACCATACTCACAGTTATGCAGTTTATTAAGGAAGTAACAGGCTGTAACTTGCGATTAGGATCAACTTGGAAATAACAGGAACAACTCGGGATGTGTGTCAGAAGCACCCCAGTGATCAGCAGGCATGGTTTCTCCGCTAAGCAGATGCTTCTCTGCCAGGCAGCTGCCTTCTCTGCTATGCAGGACTCTCCATCGTCAGGTTTCCTGCCATTGGCCTCTCTGGCCCAGTTCATAGCCAGTGTAGCAGCCCACTAGCTCTCCTAGCAGCAGCTCTCTGCCATCTGGCCTCTGTCATTAAGCTATCTTTTAGTTGTGCTCTACCATCAAGCCTTTCCATCATCAGCCCCTCCACCACTAACTGGCACAGCTCACAGACAGTGTAGCAGCTTTAGGACCACGCAGCTCCCACCTGGCTTGCTTTCTTTGCGAGCCCAACTCTTAGCCAGGAAGCCACTGAAAACTTCTGCATTTCAGCCATTTATATATCTGGGTCCTTGTCAGTTACAAGGTGTGGTCTCCCTCACCAGACTAGAGTTTAACCAATCCTCAATTATCTATGAGATGTCAATCAATGCTGCTCTTAATTACCAGGCAAAAGTATCAAACTATCAAGTTGTTTACATCTTACCCAGGAAATGTCAACCAACCTAGGAAAGCCCCTTGGCAAAAGTAACAAACCCTCTGGGGTAGAAAACAACCTGGGAGCTTCCCCACCCAAGTTGTTTCTCCAAAGAACTAGGGCAAAGGTAACTCTTCAGGGGTTAAGAGGGAAAAAAAAAACTCACAAGCTGTTTTTCCAATGAACCAAGGCAAAAGGACACATAAAGGAGGAATACATTTCTCCACATGTCCCTAGCAAGCAGAGGACGGACAGAGAGGCGCTTGAGGGGCTCCAAGCAGGTGCCCTGGAGAGGAGGCAAGTTGTTTCCACTGCAGGAATGGAGGAGGTGTGTGTCTGCACACCTTCATCACGGTTCACTGGGGTGTGGGCCCTGGGTATCCCTTCTTGGTCCTGGGCATCTGAGCTCTCCTCACTGAACCCACCCAGTGCCTGGTTCAGATAACGCACCTAAACCTGAAGGTTGGTGGTTTTTTACCCACCCAGTGGTACTGCAGAAGAAAAACCCTGTCAATCTGCTTTAAGATTACAGCCAGAAAAACCCTATGAAGCAGCTCTATTCTGTGATACATGGGGTTGCCATGAGTTGCAATCAGCTCATCAGCAACCAACAACAACCAGACATCTGTAGGAATGACTCACATTCCACAGGGAGTACTGAGAAACATCTTACAGTTACACTGAGTTACTAGTTAGCGAACACTTTACAATTCATGGTGCTTGCAGATAGGAGGAAAAGAAGAAATTAGGAAAGGACTCTTCTCATTTGTGATTAACCTAGAAGAGAACCACATCTCTACTTTACACTTGAAAGAAATATGTAGGGAAATCACTTTTAAGAAATTGATTGGGTAAAATCTCAAGACGTCCTCTATTTCAGCTTCCTGTCGGGACTGAAGTCCATCTCCTCCTCTTTGGGTCGCGGAGTTGGTGCCGGAACTCCTGAGTCACATGCGACCGTCAGTCTGCTGTTAATCTCTTTATTGCAATCTCTTATTCCTGCCTCTGAAGCTTTAATCAAGGAACCCTGGTGGCATTAGTGGTTAAGTGCTCAGCTGCTAACCCAAAGGTTGGTGGTTCACAACTACCCAGCGGTTCCGTGGGAGAAACACCTGGCGATCAACTTCCATAAAGATTACAGCCTAGAAAACCCTATACAGGGACCCAGACAGCTCATTAAGTTACTCCCGTGTGTTTATAGATAATTCTGTCATACAGCGTGGGTGGGAGGCTATTTGAGACTTTCCAGGAAAAGTGAAGCACAATGAAATGGGGTCGATAGTCCAACTCCTGTTTGTGTGTGACCGTGCAAGAGTCACTTTGAAACACGTTTTGTTTTGGCTCCTTATTACCGCAGATTCCTGCTAGGGCTCATGGCAGGCTTCCCGCTTGCCCCATCACTGCCTGCTTGTGACTGCAGCCGCTGCGCCACTAACTTTTGTCTCTTTGCTCTTGCAGAGGAGGCTGACGGTTGCAGCTTCGGGGCGGGCGCCCTGTCCAGGAAGAGGCGGGTGCTGGCAGCCCTGCGGGAGGAGGGCCTGCGCCGCCGTGCACCCCCAGCCATCGGCCTGCCGCGAGACTTCCGGCCTGTGTCCTCCATTATCGATGTGGACATCCTGCCCGAGACGCACCGCAGGGTAAGGCTGTACCGGCACGGCTGTGAGAAGCCATTGGGATTCTACATCCGGGACGGCACCAGCGTACGGGTGACCGCCCAGGGCCTGGAGAAGGTCCCGGGCATCTTCATCTCTCGCATGGTGCCCGGCGGCCTCGCAGAGAGCACTGGGCTGCTGGCCGTCAACGACGAGGTGCTCGAGGTGAACGGGATCGAGGTGGCGGGGAAGACACTGGACCAGGCCACAGACATGATGATCGCCAACAGCCACAACCTCATCATCACGGTCAAGCCGGCCAACCAGAGGAACAATGTGGTGCGCAGCAGCCGCACCTCGGGCAGCTCCGGCCAGTCCACGGACAGCACAGCCAGCCCTCACAGCCTGCCACCTGCACACGTGCTGCAGAACTTCCACCCTGATGAGATGGAGAGCGACGAGGAAGCTGACATAGTCATCGAGGGCTCTCTGGAGCCCCAGCCCGCGCCCCGGACGCAGCTGGCGCCTCCGGGCAGCCTCACGCGCATCAATGGTGCCAGCCTCGCTTACCGGTTGCACAGGGACCTCACCCTCAGTGGCTCAGGGCGCGAGGACAACGGCAGCATTCACAGACTGCTCAGCTCCCTCAAAGCAGATCCCCGCCACAGTCTAGCTCTTCCCCCAGGAGGTGTCGAGGAGCACGGGCCGGCGGTCACCCTCTAGCGGCTCCTGGGCATGAGCTGCGCGTCCCAACAGGCTGATTGTGCAGAGCCTTGCGGAGACACGGGCTGAGGAAAGAGCTGTAACAGGAGGCGGCAAGAACTGACACACGGGGATGAGTACAGTTTCCACAGGGGAATATTTTTTTTTTATTCCAATTGTAAAATAAGAAAAATTGTATACTTCTACCTGCTCCTTTTTGTTTTTGAGTTTATCGCCTTTTCCCACAACCGAATCCTTTATTTTCAACTCACTGACTAGAAAATAAAAAATAACTCTATTTTTATAGGATTTCTCCACAGAACTTACAGGTGTTATATTGAAGTCCGCATGCAGTTCCTGGCTCCTTTATAAATTGATAGACAGGATCTGACTACGTGCAGAAAATACTTCTTTTAGTTCGTTAAAAATGAAGCTTTAAAATTACTTCCTTCAAATGGCCAAATTCATTTTTTTGACTGCATCCTGCAAAAGTATCCCTGTGACACCGGCAGACTTGCTGGGGCTGCACTCCATGAAGGAGGCTTGGCAGGAAGGTGATGGGACTGACACGTAAAAGCAAACACACCAGAACTTGTGCTAAGTGTGGCCATAAAAGATGAACCAAGTCGTCACAACATTTTAGTCATGTTTCAAATGCCCTGACAGGTGCTGGGCTCTGCACATCATGGAAACTAGTGGCTCTGCGTCCTCTGGGCCGTGTGGGGGCCTCCTCAGAGAGGGGCTGCCTTCAGCTTTCCAGGGATGCAATGTTAGGTGCACCCAGGTTTCCTGGATTGGAGGGTAAAGCTTTTCCATCTGTGGTCAAAACCAGCACTGACCAAGTGGTGATGAACCAACTCTCTGCATGTTTGTGCGATGGCAGAGAGGCCCAGGGGCTGCAGTCCTGGGTGTGGGCTGTCCTGCTTCGAATACAGCCACATCTCTCATCAGTCCCGTCAGGACGTGCCACTTCCTTTTGAGAGTAGAGGGTGAGGGCAGGCTCTCTTGTTTTTAACAACCACCACTTCATGGATTTTAGTGATTTTTAACACAGATTAAATTCATTATTGTCACTTCGCTTTGATCTTGTAGTAATTTACATATTTAGTAACTTTCAAGGATTGTTGTTCTGGGCCTTGATTCTGACTCAGCGACCCTGTAAGACAGAGTAGAACTGCCCCATAAGGTTTCCAATGGTGTTCTCTTTATGGGAACAGATCACCAGGTCTTTCTCCCACGGAGCGGCTAGGTAGGTTCGAATTGCCAGCCTTTCGGTTAGCAGCCCAGCGTCTTAACCATTGTGCCACCATGGCTCTTTTTTAAAGGCTTACCTATGTCTAATCTAATGAAATTTTATATGAACTGTATTTTCTGTTTGAATACAATGTCAGGGAGGCAAATGTTACATTTATATCTTGAGAACTAAACTTTGACCAAATAAAGCTTTCATACACACAGTTGAAGACACTCCCAGGTGGCTGTACTGCTCCGTGGTGGAGTTGTCACAAGCTGTCTAACAGACAGAACACTGCTTCTCAAAGTTTTTATTTTTCCTGAATTCATTAAGTAAAAAGCAAATTCTTTTTCTTTTGGAAAGCATCTATTGGGCGGGAGTAGCTTTTACTGAGTAGTTGTGGTTCCTGCATCTTTGTTTGATTTGGTTGGTTGGTTGCTCCTCCAGTGTGCTGAGGGGCTACGATGCTATGCTTGAGGGTCTCAGAGGGTGAGGATCTAGACTCTTCAAACTTCTAGGCGCTAGTGAGATGTAATAGCATCTTGTCTGACAAGTATTATCAAACCAAAACTAATTCTTAGTTACGGCCACAAATGAAATGTCCTTCTACTAAGTTATTGCTGGTTATTGAACATCTTGTTGAATAACCAGGTCTGCTACCAAGAAGGAAAGTTATATTTCTTACCATTTTAATTTGTTATACAAATATGAATAATTTTTTAAAGGAAAGAAAAGAGGTTTATTCTGATACCTGTGCATTCCTGTTCCTAATTCTGGGAGTTACAAGCAGCTTGGGTATGTTTCTCTACCCCGATCTGTACCGTGCCATTTTCTTTTTTTCTTAAAAACAAAACATACTGTGTACTATTATTAAGTATTAAAGTTTTTCTGGTTTTATATATCAAAGAATAAAAACTTCTTGCTTCTAAGTTAACAAAATGCATTGATATATTTTAGTCGTGTTCTAAATAAATGGGAGAATGTTGGTCCTAGTGATAAACAGAAACTCATCACTCCAACCATGTGCCATTTTTTACTTCATCCTCACATGGTCCCTATGAGGCAAGTACTGCTGTCTACAATTTACAGATGAAAAAACAGGTGGGAGGCAGAATGGGAGATAGCTTACTTTTAGGTAAATGGTAAATAACATTAAACTGTCCATATTATGAATTGTAAACTGTAGGAAATTAAGTAACTCCAGAGGAATTGATTTATTGCAACTAATTCTGAAATTATATTTGAAAGTATGACCTCATGAGCTTAAAAAAATTTGTACATAGCAAACATGTCTATATGGTTCTCAAAATTTGGTTCATAATTGAAATACTAGCAAAATTTTCAATTTTTATTGGAAAACTTCCCTTCTGAAAAGGACTGTGTATTTTCTTTGTTTAAAAACAATCACTTTGCTCATATCACGTTGCGAGTGGGATAAAGAAAAGTAGTTTGGGGAGCACCTTCTTTAGAAGACTGGGAAAAACTAATGTTTGCTACAATTTATCAGCATTACGTATATTATGAGAATGGCTAGTATTATTTCTGGTATTGGTTGTTTACAGCCTGACAACACAGTGGGTGTAAAAGCCCCTTTCAGATACAACAGGCTTTGATTTTATTTTCATCTCTTTTATAAGGTGGTCCTTCCAGACAGCCGGCCCAAATAAGCACATGACGTGTGTCATTACCATGGATCTCTGAGGCTGATGATGTAGGTGAACTTTCATTTTAGCTGTATAGTATGAAAAATCCGATGATGCAATCTAGACCTCAACTTTCATTGGCTTCTAAGTCATATGTTTACCTTTTTACTCAGGTGGTGTGTGGGTCACAAATCAAGAAACTCCTGCATTTAGAACCCAAGAGAACAGGCAACCAACTTTTAATATCTGGCAAGTACTGGGTACTGCCATAAGTAACTGGTATGTTCTTATGGCACACTCACTGAATATGAAAATAGCTTCCCTACATAATACCTATATTGCTAAAATGATTTTTTAACTTGGAGTTACTATTAAAGACCAAGTAGCAATTAGGGCAAATTATCAAAAACTAGAATAATTCTAAAGCTGAGATTTGATACCTGCATAATCAGAACCAAACCAGTTGTCATCAAGTTGATTCCATCTCATGGTGACCCCATGTGTGTCAGAGTAGAATTGTGCTCCATAGGGTCCTCAATGGCTGTTTTTTGGTAGTAGTTTGCCAGGCCTTTCTTCCAAGGCTCCTCTGGGTGGACTCCAACCTCCAACCTTTTGGTTAGCAGCCAAGCAAGTTAACCACTCATGCCATTCAGTGACTTCACTTGCATAACGGAAAACCTAAATTCTAGAAAGCATAAGTTAGCAGGTGTGCTACAAACTAAAGCTTTTTAATTAGGAATGTATAATGCTTATTTACTTTCATCACCTATGAAAAAGAAACTCGTTGGAGAAAATTAATAGTATAATAACTGGTAAAAGTGAAATTAAGCTTAAAGTTTTTAAAGCTAAGCAAATAAAACTTTCTGGCAGTAGCTCACGGATGCAATTTTTATTTCTTAGCTGATAAAAAGTTCGACAGGAACTCAGTAATATGGGAGACATTAAGTGCTAAACATAAAACCTGTGCATTTCTTCAGTGGTTTTTTTCTCACTAATTCAACCAGGAATTCCTCACTAGTAAAATAATGATGGAGTTACCGAGTGAATTTATTACAAGCATTTAGAATGGTATTGGCACATGTAAGTACTCTATTAGCTAACATTACCTTGTTATTGCTGCTGTTCATCAGACCAAAACCAAACCAAACCCGTTGCTGTCGATTCCAACTCATAGCGACCCTATAGGACAGAGCAGAACCGCCCCATAGAGCTTCCAAGGAGCAGCTGATGGATTCCAACTGCAAACCTTCTGGTTAGCAGCCGTAGCTCTTAACCACTGCACCACCAGGGTTCTTATGTGCATCAGGATGCCCTATGTATCTTGATACCTAAAGAGCAATGTCCAAGTCTGGAGGTGGTATTAAGTGACGTGTCACCTTGGACAAGTAAATTATCTGACCTCTGAGGAGGGTGACCAGCTCGTCCATTTTCCCAGGACCTTCCCAGTTTTAGCACTCAAAGTCCCAAGCAAACCAGGATGGTTGGTCACAACTGGAGCCCATTTCTTCATCTGTAAAATGTAGATAAAATGCCTACAATGAGGTTTACACTGGATAATATATGTAGAGAGGCAGTGTATCAGCCAAGAGCACAAAGCCAGGTCACCGTGTCCTTAGCGCAGTCGTTCCACTTACCTACTCTAAGTCGGACAAGTTACTGAATGTCCTAGTTTCCCTCTGTGTAAAATGTGATGCCACCACTTGCCTTGTAGCATTGTAGCGAGGATTAAATGTTAAAATGCATACTGTGCTTAAAACAGTGCATCGCACAACTGTAAGCACTAAGTATGATTGATTCTGGTTATCAAAACATTTAGCCCATTTCTGCTTTGGCAAGCAGTTGATACGTTTAATAGGAAGATATGCTTAAAAACAAATAGTTTTTTGTCCCCAGTAAAAACTAGGTTAGAGTTTGGGAGCTAAGGTTTCTTTTTCTCCCTTTCTTAATTACTGAGGGTAAAGGGTTACTAATTGTTGCTTTGGTTAGTGAACTCTTAAGAAATACAGAACTGCACAATAATCCTCAGACTAAAAGGGATGTTAAAAAGGATAATTCAGAAAAGCTAAAATAGTATGCTGTATTTAAATTTTAACTGTATACACTTAAATGTATAGTATTTTTAAGTTGCGCCTACACTGGGCGATGGAAGAGTTTTTTTAAGTATACAGCTTTTTGTAATAATCATGTCAGAACTGAACTGTCTTCTTTCCTTCTGGATTTCTAGCCATCTTTTAAATGACAGTCTAAAAAATCTTCACCACTAAACTATCAATCTGTAGTTTTTCATTTTCAAGTAATAAATTTACTTATTTACTTACAAGAGCTCCCACGTGCTTTTTGAAAATCAGCATTTTATCAAATTTTAATCTGTGCAGCCTACAACTTTAGTAACCAGCAAAAAAAGACGCCGCATCAAAGTTGCCCTGCAGCTAAAACAGACTAGAAATCAGAATCCTGTATCACAGTGGTTCCATCCGGATGATTCTACCCCCTGGGGACACTGCTTAATGTCTGAAGACATTTCTGTTTGTCACAACTGGGGGTGCTACTGACATCTAGTGGGGGCAGCCAGGGGTGCTGCTCAACGTCCTCTAAGGCGTAGGGGGTTGACCCCACAACAAAGCATCATCTGGCCCAAAGTGTCAACAGTGTGAGGTAGACACACACTGAGTTGCCCTTGTTGGTGCCACCCCGCCTGGCCCCTCCACACTGACTGCACTGAGGACAGCCGAGATGAAAGCAAATCTCACAGCACCAACGTCTTCCTCTTTCGGCACTTCTGGGAAACCACTACAGAAACATCAGGGACCTCTAGCCACACCTATCTTGGCCCCCTTTTGTTGGGTTTATTTTCACAACGGCAAGTAATGAATGTTTTTCAGAAAATGAAGGTGGTATCTCTCTCCATGTTTAGGTTATTCCTATATAGTCATAGTAATGGTTAACCATTAAAAGAATTTAAACAGCTCTATTTGTAGTGGTGTAACAAGTTTTAATTCAAAATAGACACTCTGAAAACAATAGGTTAAAAAAAATAATAAAGTTCAACAAGCTCTTGTTTTGAATTTGTAACAGGACGCTGACAATCACAGAGGAGTTTCACAATCGCCTTAGAAATGCACAGTATAGCCATACATGCAAATGAATATGTTTTACAATCCATACAGAACATTATTGTATTTCCCAGAGGCTCGGTCAATCCTCAGATTATTTCTGCCTAGAGATAAGCTAGCAGGCTCCTCTGCTAATATCGCCATACTGACGGCTGAGCTGGCTGGTCTCCATTACTGGCTCTGGTGCTTTTAAGTAATTTTGTATTTTATGAAGGAAGCTAGGTTTAACCATCCAAAGAATACAGTGGAGACTCTACCAGTTTACCGTCCCATTAACCCCAACAACCCAATATTGGAAAGCCCCAGTACTCACGTTTACCTCTAAGAAACTTTGTCAAAAAATTGATATACCAACCAGAGCTACCTCTTGGCTGACTCACTTCACATTGTCCCCTGAAAAACCTATGTTTAAATTTCAATTCGTAACCACACTCAGGGGTAAAAATTTTATTCCTGAGTAGCATGGTCCTTCCCTTTTACTAGTTTATGAGCAGTTAAGTTAGAAGACTTTTTTTTGTAATGTTTATTCTAAAGGCACTAAAGATTTATTGTCTTACCTTTGAATGGAGAAATTACTTATCATATCAAAAAGAGGAAAAATGTCTACACTGTAAAGTACTTCTGCACCTACAGAATTACTTTATTTGTAAAATAACTCTTTTGATACATGAACTACATACCAGGCTCCAGGTTCAGGATATTTTAACAAATGAAAACATTTGGTTTTCTATGAGTTACGCTAAAAAATAGCTGAGAAGGGAAAATCAAAGTAATAATCTAATAAGCAGATACTTTACAAAGAAGTACGCACATAATGCAGTGCACCCTGATGGGGGTTTGCACCCATCTGAGCACCCACCATCACCTGCCACGTGGGGAACTGTTGGGGAAATCAATGCCTTACTTTGCCATTAGCCAGTGTTCTAAAATGGCTAAAATCTTCTTAAATGAAACAATAGCATTTTGGATTTCAGTTTTTATCAGACGATACACTACTGGGAAAACAAGGCGTGCATGAAATATCAAAGATTTAATTTACATGACAGGGAAAAAACTAAAAAAAAAAAAAAGTTACAAAATCAACCCACAGGAAACAATAGATGTGAAAAACCTATTCACTTCTTTATGTAGTAGTCTTTCTGAGCACCTGAAACAAGCTAAACAGCAGCATAAAGACCACTGAATTCATTAGTTCAACACACTAGTGGAGAAAATAACGCTTTTATATTCAATTGAAAAAACTGCTAATTAACCTAGTTTAGATTTCTTATTTTTTTACAAGTTCTGTGGTTCATACTCAAAGTTCAATTTGTGTTTAACGTTCTTAAGTTCAGACATATCAAAGCCTAAAAGTACAGAAGGTTTGTGATTTTTTATTGCTTTCATGCAAATATATCTTCTTTTCCCAAAAAATGAAGCCACATCAATTTTCCACACCCACAAGAGTGAGGATAGCAGCTCTATTTCCTTTTTACTGGGATATGGTCTCTTATGGAAATAATCTCTCAGAAACTGTTTCTGCGCCTCGTAAGAACGGTCCTCGTACTTTCTGGGGTTCAGTGCTAGGATCTGAAGCGCATCATCATTAATGAGCAATCCATCTGTCCTGCTCTCATTCTTCTGTCTCTTGAAAGGCATGCCACTCGCTGCCTTTTCCGGAGCGGGCATGGGGTCGGCATCAATGACGAGGGGCTGCTCCTCCCCAGCCCTCGGGTCATCTGCCCCGGCGTGGCCATCGGGCAGCTTCCTCTTCACAGAGAAGCTGGACTCGTGGATCACCTCCCCGTTGACCAGGAGCAGCCCGCTGTTGTCAATGAAGCTGGGCTGCAGCTGCAGGTCTGAGCTGCTATCCTTAGGGGCACTCCGGCACCGCAGCAGGTGGATGGCGATGGCCGCCAGGGTCATGTTTCCAGTGTAGACCCCACAGCAGTGGATACACTTGAACGCAGGTGACTTTAGGACTGTGTGCACAGTTGGCATGATGTGGTGCCTCTCCTTCAGGTGCATCTCATACGCGTCCATGGTCATAAATGTGCCAAAGCAGAAGGGGCAGGTCAGCACCTCCCGGCCAGGGCTGCTGGTGGCACCCTCTGTCTGGGGCCGTACCTTAATGTACACGGGCACCAGCGCCTTGGAGTGTATCCCTGCGAGCACTGCCAAGTAGACTTCCCGCTCACCGAGCTCGTCCTTCGGCAAGAGGGTGATGAAGTCGATGTGAGGAAAGAGCAGGCTGCCACTGGCGTCGACATCCAGCTGGAAGCCCCTGTTGCTGTAATCCACAGACAGCCTCTTCTTCTCCAGGTGCGTGGCCTTGCAGTGATCCGAGAGGCCCCTGAGGTCATGGAACGTGGAGGGGCAGAACAGGCACCCCAGGCCATGTGTCAGCAAGTGGCGGATAAGCTCATCCTCTGGGATGAGGCATTTGCAGGACAGACATCGGACAGTCTTCTCCTTCATCCACTTTAGGAACGGTGCGCAGGCCGCGAGTTTCTCTGGCTTGAGCCTCTTGATGGTGACGGGCTTGGCCTCACTGTGCTTGTGTGCCACCTCCACATGCACCTGGTACACGTTGGAAGGAAAAAGCTCATTGCAGACAGGGCAGGTCTTCCACTGCTTGGCCTGCTTGAGGGCCTGGCTCGCCTCAGACACAGACGGTGAGGCCTGAACAAACATGCTCTGAGAGGTGCTCACCACCATGGGTGGTGGGGGCAGGCTGGCTGCCCCGGGCTGCAACAGCTGGAGTGGCATCTGGGGTGGGGCAGTGGCCGCAACACCCCCTGGTGGCACAGGCAAAGTGACCGAGACTGGAGCCAGTGTGTACGTGGGAATGCCATTCACCTCCTTCCCTGTGGGGATGAGCTGCCTGAGGATGGAGCCTGAGGTGAGGAAGGTGGTATTTGGCGCAGCACCAGGCCTGACGGGCTGGCTCACGGGCAGGAGGCTGGTGCTAACAGACTGGCCACCAAACTGCAGGACGCCGGGCCGCACAGGCTGGCCCACCGGAAGAACACCTGACACGACGGGCTGGCTGAGCTGCAGGACGCTGGGGCTCATGCTCTGGCCCACAGGCAGTACCCCGGACGAGACCCCCTGGGTCGGAGGAAGCAGCCCCGACGGCACCACCTGGCCTGCAGGAAGCGCCCCAGATGGGGCCTTATGGCCTGCAGGGAGGACCTTCAACGGAACCGTCTGCCCAGTGGGGAGCAGCCGGGATGGGACTGTCAGCCCGGTGGGGAGCACACCTGATGGGGCTGTCTGGCCAATGGGGAGCACCCCCGATTGGACAATTTGGCCACTAGGAAGGACCCCTGAAGAGGCCGTCTGTCCTGGAGGAACAACCCCTGCAGGAGCCACATGGCCTGCAGAAAGTACAGCCGGGGGGACTGTCCGGCCCACAGAGAGCACCCCTGGTGAGACGGCCTGCAGAACCCCAGGGGCAACTGCGTGCCCTACAGGAAGGATGCCAGCCCCAGTGGGCCTGTTCCCCGAGAGAGCCCGAGGCCCAGCAGGTCTGTTCAGGGGCCTGATGGGCTGACTGAGGGGTAGAATCCCCGGGCGGATGGTCTGGTTCATGGGGAGAACACCGGTCCCAGCAGAGTTGGCTACAGGCCCAACGGGCGGGCTCAGGGGCAGGACAGCTGGGCTCACGGAGTGGCTGAGCGGGACGCCGTGGGACATGAAGACGGGTTGTGGGACCGGCGTCTGCAGAGCTAGGCCGTTCTGACCCACCGGCAGTGGGCTGGAGACGAGTGCCACCTGAGACTGGGCGATGGCAGGAGGGGACTTGGGGGTGAGCCCCCCAGAAGTGCCCGAGGCCACAGAGACAGGCTGAACTAGGGTTTGGCTTTGGCTGCTCTGCGGCAAGGCAAGCTGGAAGCAAGGAGGGGTGGCTGGAACGCCTGGAGCACTGTTGTTTAGTTGGACGGCCAAATTTGCAGCTGGTTTTGGAGCGATATGCATTTGCTTCAAAAGTCCAGTTTTCTTAATGTGTTCTGAAATCAAAGATCTAAGCTTATTCTCTAAGTCTCTGTGTATATCCGATGTCAAAATGTGATACATTAAAGCGTCCTGGCTGCTAGCACTGGCACTGCATTTTTTACAGTAATACCTGTCAGGCGGTGGCATCTTCTCAGCAGGAGGAGGGTTGCTGGCCTTCGACTGCTCACCTACCTCCTCAGTCCGCAGGCCAAAGTAGGCATTAATTAGGTGGTGGAAATGGGCAACCAGCACATGCTTCTTCATGCTGTAGTACAGAGTGTTTGAAAAGTTACATTTCAAACATGTGAAACTTATAACATCACTCCTAGATGATTTCACTTCACCTAAAATATTCACTGTGTAGTTCTGGACTTTCCGAGCAGGTGTGTGAAACATCCTCAAGTGCTTTCCCACGACTTTGGGTTGAGACGCAAATACACAGTTTGGGCAAGGGACCACCAGCTCTTGGTCAATTTCATCTTCGTGGTAACGATGTAAATGATTTTTGAATGAAGTAAGCACCTTTGTCGAGTATTTACAGAGGCTACAGCAGTATGGTTTTGTTCGATATCTCTGTTAAAAGAAAGAAAGTCTTCAGCATAGTTTAATAAAACTATCAGAGGCCACATCTCTTCTATTCCATGAATATGATTCCTTTTATTTTAATTTGCTAGATAATTTAACACTATCACTCCTCAAGGAACAATGTTTTTTCTAAGCCAGGGGTCAGCAAGCTTTTCTGTAAAGGGCCAAACAAACATCAACAAGAAAGGGCCAAAGAGAAAACATTTTAGGCTTGTGGGCCGTGCAATACAGTCTTTGTTGCAAATACTCAACTCTGCCACTGAAGCATGAAAGCATGGCTGTGTTCCAGTAAAACTTTACTTTGTGAACACTAAAAGTTAAATTTCATATGATTTTCACATGTCACAAAATAGTTTTAATTTTTTTCAAGCATTTAAACATGTAAAAACTACCTACTCTTAGCTCATGGGCCATACAGAAATGGGGCAGGCTGGATTTGGCCCCTGAGATGTAGTTTGCTGACCCCTGTTCTCACCTGTCCGCTAAAACCACAAGTCTCATTACTTAGGCAATTAAAATAAACTCAATTAATTCTCTGCAACAGACAAGTTATTTTTCTCTTAGTTCCAATGCTGTTTTAACTCTAAATTCTAAAACTTTTTGCTGTAGCCGTCATCTTACCATTCCTCCCATTTCCAGTGCTCAGCACACGGTAGGTGCCCAGTAAACAACGTGATAAACAGTACAGAAAGAGCAACTGTGCTGAACCAAGCTCACACTGTGAATGATCCTAAGGTGAGTGTAAGACCACAAAATATAGCACTAACGCATTTAGTCAAATTTGGAGGAATTAAATAATCCTGGGGCATAAGAACAAACATCTGTAGCACAGCTAGCCAAATCTGGAGTACAACTGTTCTAAAATACAGTAAAACTTGATGGTTTGTGGGGGCCAAACTGTCAAACCTGAGTATTTTAAGAGTACTGAAGTCTTTGGTCTCATTATAGAGTCTTGAAATCTTAGGCCTGGTGAACTACAGAATCCCTGACCCTACCCTAGTTGTATGAGTGAGAAAGCTAAGACCTGGACAGATTAACTGCTTCTTCTGAGGCCCCACAGTCAGTGTGTACAGAGCCACGAGGCACAGAGCTTTCTACTCCGCCACCTCCTATCAGGGTGACCAAGACCTCATCTCCATCCTTTGCTAAACCTGTGCTCTCCTGATGCTACAGTCTCACTCTTCAAGATTCTGTTATCCTCTCTCTCATGCAGTGCTGCTTCTCCAGTCACAGGTCACAAAAATTATTCACATTCAACATCAGATTACCGTCTCGGCAACTAGCAAAATCCTAGGTTCTCGTATTTCTACTGGGATCTATAATAGACTCAGGTATATCCACTGTATATCCAACCCCAGACTACAACCTCAGACAACAGACTTAAAAAAACAAAAAAACCACCATATTTTACTGATTCTCAGAGTACACTTTTTTCATATTTTAACATCTCTGAAATCTGGATGCACTTTACAATTGACAGTGCTATGGTGTAACAGTTTAAAGGAAGCACTCTTTTAGTTTTATGAACAATTCTTTAAATAATCATGCATTTTATACTTAATGATACACCATTCTGAAAGAATCATATACAGTGAAATGAAAAGTCAGCTGCCATCAAGTTGGCCCTGGACTCATGGTGACCCCATGCACACTGGAACAAAACACTGCTTGGTCCTGTACCATCCCTATGATGGGTTGTAGATCGGACTGTTGTGATCCATAGGGTTTTCACTGGCTGTTTTTCAGAAGTAGACTGCCAGGCCTTTCCTCCTAGTCTCTTTGTCTGAAAGCTCCACTGAAACCTGTTCAGCATCATAGTAACATACAAGCCTCCAGTGACAGAAGAGTGGTGGCTGTGCATGAGGTGTATTAGCTGGGAATCAAACGCAGGTCTCCTGCATGGAAGGTGAAAATTCTACCACTGAACCACCAATGCCCTCTCAATAAAAATTATACTCAATGAGTCGACAGAACTTAACAACTGCATGCTAGTATCTTTTAGTGTTGAACAAATCTTTGGGTTAGACCTTTGCCTAAAGGCCATATTCTTAAACAGGGCAACAAAAACATAATCTATAAATAAATAAAAAATGATAAACTGGGCTTCATCAGAGTAAAAAGTCTCTTTAAGAGACACTTTAAAAAATGAAAAGACAAGTCACAGGCTAAAAAACAGTATTTGCAAACCACATATTTAATAAAAGGCATATATGCAGAATATGTATATCCAGAATATGAAGATCCCCGGGTGGCACAAATGGTTTACGCGAACCCACCCAGCAGCGCTGTGGAAGAAAGACCTGGTGATCTGCTTCCATAAAGATTACAGCCAATAAAACTCTATGGAGCAGTTCTACTCTGTAACACATGGGGTTTACCATGAGTCCCAACTGATTTGACATCAATAGGTTTGGTTTTTAAAAAAAAAAAAAAAAAAAATCCAGAATATCTGTACTGGATATGTTCAAATGTAAATTATAATAAATGACCCAATTTAAAAAATGGGCAAAAGATTTGAACTTTACCAAAAAGATACTTGATGCCAAATAAACAAATCAAAAGATGCTAAATATTATTAGTCACTACAGAAATGAAAATTAAAATCAAATGAGATACCACCACACATCTATCAGAATGGGAGATAAATACATACAATAAACTGACAATACCAAGTGCTGGCAAGGATATGGAGCAACTGGAACTCTCACACTGCTGATGAGAAAGCCAAACAATACAAACACTTTGAAAATCAGTTTGGCAACTTCTAATAAAAATAAACATATACTTACTTACTCTACAGTCCAGCAATCCCACTCCTAGGTATTTACCCAAGATAAATGAAAACATATGTTTACACAAAAACCTGTATGTGAAAGTTCTCAGATAGTGACCAACCAGAAACAATCTGAGTGTGAGACATTTAGCTCATTGGGAACAGAGGGAAAAAAAAGCAGTTAAAAAGCAAAGCAGAGAAGAAGTGGATTCACAAGTAACTGTGTGCTACTGGAAACACTGTAACCAGAATAATAGTTCATCTCTCCATGAAGCCTAAATGTTGCTTCAAGATTCCCCCAATAATAAAGCTCCATCACCTAAGACAACATTAGCATGTCTCTCTGTCCTCAAAACTTGAGAAAGTCTAACACATTACTTGTTTCTCTGAACCCTTAAGGACCTGATTACAGTGCCCCCCATATAATACAGCATGATTACACCCAGCTCTGCTTTGCTTCCCTAAACTGTTTTTCTTCATAAAGTGTATTTCCCAAGAAGGATTAGCCTGTGGATTAAAATTCTCAAAAAGAAAAGAGACAAATTAGAATAGGAAGACTACCTTAACAATGAAGAGAAATAAAGATACTAAGTTATGAACTCAAACAAGCTCTCACTGAACACACGTGTGCTCAAAACCACAGGAAATACAAAACAAGTATAAGACATGATTTTTTGTTTGTTTTTTTTTAATGGAACTTTTCTAAAATTATGGAAAATTTACATACATAGAAGTAAAACTAGCAGACAACATAGTCTCTACCACTCCAGGCAAGTGTTCTTTTTTTCCTGAATACGGTTATTTGTTCAACACATTCGATTCTCTACTATTTCACAGTAGTATTTAACATTTTATGCCTATGCCCTATTCTCCCAAATAAGAACACAGACTCCTTAAGGAAAAAAACCCTCACTTTTACCTTTGTATCAGGCACTCAAAAACTTTTACCTGTTTTATAGCAGGAATTAAAAAAAAAAAAATTTCTTGATGAAAAGCATATAATTACGTATTATACTACATGTAACATTATAAGATCTTTTAAGAATTCAGATGAGAAAAATCAATGAGGCCTAAGAAAAGACTCAGAAAATAAAAAGTCTCAAAAGCCAGGCACGTTTCAACAGCCTTGAGCTGTTCTGAGCAAGAAAATAACAAAATCAAAGTGATTTCCAGAAAATGGTCTGATGGTCAAGGAGGCTAAGAAACTGCCCCCATTCCAAGTCTGAAAAGGTAGAGCCAACACAGAGGCAAAAAAGTGGGAATCAAGAAGAATGGGTCGATACTAGAAATATTTTTAAAGAAATCTGACAAAACAATGACTGACTGGATATAGCAAAATAAATAAATAAAAATTCCAAATTCCCAGGCAGGCATGACTTGGAAAAGGGTGGTACAACTGACAGAGGCAGGGAAGGAGCTAATTTGGACAAACGAAAGTTTGGGGGAAACAGCTAAGTCAAGCCTGGGATATAATGAGTTTGATACTGACAATGGTGCTAATGGCTGGCTGGTGGGAGAGGTTTCCTTAAAAGGAGAACTCAGCAGTACATCACATGTATTAATTTGAATTTACTCAGGTTAAGGTCCCAAATCATTATAAATTTGTTCAATTCAAAGATCTACATTTTTATTTTAGTTCAGAAACCAGGATGTACTGTCAATCATTTTGTATATTTATGTAGTGGAATTTTTTTTACTAAAAATAGTTATTAAATCAAAGGTCCTTCTTACATCAGAGGCATCTTATCATCAAGGACATGTAATAGTGTCGCTATATCAGTTTATCAACTCTATATGCAGAGAACTCTCAAAGCAAAATACTGTTTTTCTTTCTACTTTCCTGAACGTTACACTACACCTCTTCCCCACTCATTCATCACCAACCCCATTTGTGTAACCCTACTTTTGAGAAATATGAATGTCAAATACAAAAATACATACCATTTTCTTTCCAGAAGGTTCCCAGAGAGAAACATCTCCCCATGATGTGTTATAAAAGTACTTCTCTCCTGGATCAAAAGCTTTAAGGTCCTTTACAAAAGAGAGAAAGAGTGATCATGCAAATCCAGAAGATAAAGAAAGGTTTAATTAAAACTTGATTAGATCACTGGAGCCTCAAAAATCTACATGGGAAACATGAGACGAAAATTCAAGCCCATCATCAAATTTTGAGAGTACCCATTAAGTGAGGGCATTGGTAGTTCAGCGGCAGAATTCTTGCCTTCCATGCAGGAGACCAGGGTTTGATTCCTGGTCAATGCACCTCACACGTCCCATCAGTGGAGGCTAGTATGTTGCTATGATGCTGCACAAGTTTCAGCAGAACTTCCAGACTAAGACAGACTAGGAGGAAAGGCCTGGAGATATACTTCTGAAAATCAGCCAACGAAAATTCTATGGACCACAATGGTCCAATCTACAACTGATCGCGGGAAAGCCGCAGGACCAGGCAGCATTTTGTTCCACCGTGCACAGGGTCACCATGAAGCGAAGGTCAACTTGAAAGTAGTTAACAACAACAGCAATCTATTAATATGAGAACTAAGGAAAGGGTTGAGATGATCCAGGTTAAATTATAAGAAATAAACAGATAAGACTTCCAAAAAATGATGTTTAACACAACACAAATAATTATCTGTGTTTTAAATATGTCAGAAGCCTAGATGTAAAGCTCCTAAAAGCCACACAGTTTCGTGAGTAGGTATAAAGAAACAAAACAGTACTTCAAAGTTAAAGAATGTTTATTCTGAACATACTCTTTTTTTAAACTATACCTTGCCATTTTTTTAAAACCTATTTGTCTTAGAAAATAAAAGTATATTTTCACATTACTTTAAATATTTTTCATGACAGCCATTTATACAAAGAGACAGAACACATAGAGGGTTTCTTCCCAGATGGAAGTCATCCACAATATATAAAACAACTCCTACAACTCGACAACTAAAAGACAAATAACCCAATTTAAAAACCAGCAAAGGACTTAACAGACCTTCTCCAAAAAAAAACAAATGGCCAATAAGCACATGAAAAGATACTCAACACCATTAATTAGAGAAATGCAAATCAAAACAACAATGAGTTACCACTCCAAACCCACTATTGTTGTTATTAGGTGCCGCTGAGTTGGTTCCAACTCATAGCAACACTATGTACAACAGAATGAAACACTGCCCGGTCCTGAGCCACCCTCAAAATTGTTGCTATGCTCGAGCACATCATTGCAGCCACTATGTCAATCCATCTTGTTGCGGGTCTTCCTCTCTTCTGCTGACCCTCTACTTTACCAACCATAATATTATTCTCCAGGGACTGCTCCCTCCTGATAACATGTCCAAAGTACATGAGACAATGTCTCGCCATCCTCGCTTCTAGGGAGCATTCTGGCTGTACTTCTTCCAAGACAGGTTTGTTTGTTCTTCTAGCAGTTCATGGTATATTCAGTGGAAGAGATCCATACTTGTGCCCATCCTAAAGAAAGGTGATCCAACAGATGGCAGAAATTATCAAACAATATCATTAATATCACACACAAGTAAAATTTTGCTGAAGATAATTCAAAAACGATTACAGCAGTACACTGACAGGTAACTGCCAGAAATCCAAGATGGAGTCAGAAGACGTGGAATGAGGGATATCATTGCTGATGTCAGATGGATCCTGGCTGAAAGTACAGAATACCAAAAAGACATTTACCTGTGTTTTACTGACTACGCAAAGGCATTCAACTGTGTGGATCATAACAAATTATGGATAACACTGTGAAGAATGGGAATCCTAAACACTTAATTGTGCTCACGCAGAACCTGTACTTAGACCAAGAGGCAGTCACTCAAACAGAACAAGGGAATACTGCCTGGTTTAAAATCAGGAAAGGTGTGCATCAGAGTTGTATCCTTTCAAACATACTTATTCAATCTATATGCTGAGCAAATAATCTGAGAAGCTGGACTATATGAAGGATGCAGCGTCAGGATTGGAGGAAGACCTGTAATATGCAGATGACACAACCTTGCTTGCTGAAAGCAAAGAGGACTTGAAGCACTGATGAACATCAAAAACTACAGCCTTCAGTATGGATTACACTTCAACATAAAGAAGATAAAACTCCTTACAAGTGGACTAATAAGCAACATCATGATAAATGGAGAAAAGACTGAAGTTGTCAAGGATTTCATTTTACTTGGATCCGCAAGTAAACGCCCAGGGAAGCAGCAGTCAAGAAATCAAATGATGTATTGCACTGGGCAAATCTGCTGCAAAGTGTTAAAAAGCAAAGATGTCACTTTGAGGACTAAGGTGCACCTGACCCAAGCCATGGTGTTTTCAATCGCCTCATATGCATGCCAAAGCTGGACAATCAGTAAGGAAGACCAGAGAACTATTCATGCTTTCAAATTCCCTAGGATGGCTATTATCAGAAAAACAGAAAACAGCCAAGTGGTGGCCAAGATGTGGAGAAACTGGAACCTTCCTGCATTGCTGGTGGGAATGTAAAATGGTGCAGCCACTATAGAGAACAGTTTGGTGGTTCTTCAAAAAGTTAAACACAGAATTACCATATGACCCAGCAATTCCACTCCTAGGTATATACCCAAAATAATTGAAAGCAGTGAAAAGAAATGTTCACAGCAGCATTATTCACGACAGCCAAAAGGTAGAAACCACCCAGTGTCATGAACAGATGAACAGATAAACAAAATGTGTTATATCCATACAATTAAACATTACTCAGCCATAAAAAGAAATGAAGTTCTAATACATCCTATGATATGGATGAACCTTGAAAACATTATGCTGAGTAAATTCAGTCAGTCACAAAAGGACAAATATTGGATGATACAACTTATATGAAATATACAGAATAAGCAAATGCATAGAGATCAAATTGTATTAGTGGTTACCAGGGGCTGGGGGAGGGGGAATGGGAGTTATATAGCTGAAGGTGTGCAGAGTTTCTGTTTGGGATGATAAAAACTTTTGGAAACAGAAAGTGGTGACAGTTTCACAACATGGTAAATGTAATTAATGTCACTGAAGTGTACACTTAAAACTGGTTAAAATGGCAAACTTTTTGTTATATATTTTTTACCATAATAAAATTTTTTTAGAAAGTCCCCAAGAGATTCTAGAACTTAGCAAGGTTTAGATCCACTTTTACAGAAGCAGATAAGGTTCGTGGAAGAGTCTCTCTTCCTTAAGCTTTACTTTTCTCAGCCAGGCTTTTGACAAGAACTGTATAGCCTATTCTCTGAGGTCCCAGGTTTGCTAAAAGAGTGCAGTCATATAGGCTTTGGAAATCAGACGAGGAAGCAGGAGTGACATGACATCCCATGCTGGCAAAGGGTGGTTAAGCCAATGGGCAGGTGTTCCCTTGGTTCTTTCTTGTTTTCAATGCTAGCTCCCCAGTCTGCTTGGATTCTGCAAGTCCCTAATGTCCTTCCACTAAGTTCTCTTTTGCTTAAGTTGGTCAGAGTTGGTTTCTGTTGCGTGAAACCAAAGAACTCTTACTATGGAGTATTAAGAAAAAACACTTCACATGGTAAGAAGGTTCTTAATGCGCTGTTCAGTGAAAGGAAAAAAAAAAAAAAAACCTACTACAATAGCTTATACAGTTTGATCATATCTTTGTAAGGAAAAAAATGGGAACATATCCCATTAAAAAATCCAGAAAGATACAGAACCATATTAACAATGGATATTCTGGTATAGTGGCTTACAAGTCTTACTTTCTTCTTTGTGTTTCTATGTATTTTTCCTAATTTTTCTACAATGAACTTTTACGCTGCTTGGATTTTTAAAAATCACATAAATTATCAGGCTCAATTACAAATTATAAAAATTAAAATTTCCACCAAAAGAATTAGTAACATTTAACCCAACAGTTAATCTAACTTAATAGTTTTAAGCCATTCAGTCTCTTCTTTGTGAGGGATGTACATATCTCTGTCAGCATAGCCTTATAAAGAAAAAGTAAACCATCCTTAACAAATTCAGATAAGTAAACACATTCTTATGCTGACTACAAAGCAAAAGGTCATAAAGGTCATGAGCAATGTTCAGTTCCACTCAAGGTCACAAAAAAAGAACTAAAGAATGAGAAATTTTATTTAACTTGTTACTGACATTTTAACTAAAAACAAAACAAAACCAATTTCATAACTGTATTCTACTTTTAAAAACGTAATTCACATTAAAGGAGACTAAAGAGCTATGACGATTAAATGTGATACCGGATCCTAGATCGGATCCATTACTGATGGGAAAAAATGCTATACATAAATGACATTATTGAGTCAACTGACAAAACTAAAATATGATCAGTGAATTCGATAAAAAAAAATCAATGTTAAATTTACTTAATATGATAACATACTATTGTAATGCCAAGAGACTATCCTTACTCTTAGAAAATACACACTTTGTATTCAGGTGTTAAGGGTCATGAGGTATGTAACTTACTCTCAAATGGCTCAGGGGAAAAATTACACACAGCGAGCACAAGCAAAAGGGTGAGCAAATGTTAAAGCGAATGAGATGAAATTATAAAAAATGGTAAATACGGTTAAGGGTATTGAGTGAGTGTTCTTTGTATTATTCTTATTACTTTTCTCAGTGTGATAGTTAAGGCTGTACGTCAACTTGGCTAGGCCATGATTCTCAGTGGTTTGGCAGATATGATGTAGTTTGGCAGTTGTATGATGATGTGATCACTTACATGATGAGATTTGATATAATGCAGTCACCCCCATGATGGGATCTGCTGTGAGCAGCCAATCAGTTGAAAGAGAGTTTCCTTTGGGTATGTGGTCTACATCGAACATAAGCGGACTCTCTGGCAAGGCTTGAAGGCCTCTGCTCGCTCTGGATCCTGCAGCTGGCTCCTGTTGGTCTGACCTCTGGTTCTTGGGACTTCAGCTAGCAGCTTACCTGCCGTCTTGCCTGCTGATCTTGGGATTCATGTGGCTACGGGAATCAGAAGCCTCCAGCCTGACCTATGGATTTGGGACGTCCCAGCCTCTAAAACCATG